GGTCAGAGCTCACAGACCTGAGACATGCTGAATCTTTCAGTCGTGATCCAGAGCACACGTCCAGAAACCAGCTCAGAGAGCAGAGGAACAGATTCCTGAGAATGTTTCTTCAGCTGTCTGTGCATGGGGGTAAAATACCATTTCTGTCCCAACAACAACAACAACAACAACAACAACAGAAACAACAGCAACAACAGCAACATTTACCTTCATATATAAAAAAAGAAATGAACAGAAGTAAAACAGCGAGCGCAGTAAACATCATGTGCAGCTCATCAGACTCAATTCAATCACCGTCTTATTGCATTTTGGGCTCAAAACAACACCGTCAGCTGTGTGTCGTCATGACGACGAGGCAGCTGAGGTGTTACAGAGTCGGTTTAAATGCAGATCACATGCTGACCAACTGCAAAGGTTCACCCTGAAACAGACTCCTTAAACGAACCGTGTGAACGAGAAGACGCAGTGAGAAGAGCAAGCTTCTAACTCAGCGACAAAATCATCTACATCAACAGATGCAGGAAGAAATCTCCAAGAACTGCAGTAGTTGTAGTATTTATGCTCCAGTGTGTATTTGTGTGTGTTTTCAGAGCGAAAACACCTCGCCGTGTCTGAAGATAAACCCTGAGCTGAACAGGAAGCGTCGCTCACACATGCTGTGATTCCTCAAGTCTGAGTGAAGAAGAAGAGAAACACGTTCACCCTGCTGAAGAACAGCAGACTGTTCTGTTCTGCGTCGTCGTGTTTGCTGGTGAAAAGTAAAACACAGCAGGGCTGCAGTGATAAACAGAAACCCAACATGTAGTTTGATCAGTCACAGTGTGCAGAGCTTCTTCCCTTCCTCCATGTTTCCAGACTAAATCAGCTGTAGAAACTTCCAGCTGGTTGATTTATTTTTATTCTAAATATCCTGCCAAGAGTTTCTCTATTTTTCTGCAGGGATACACTGAACTCTGTGTGCGGCAGACAGGGAGAGTCCACCGGAGTGTGAATGAGGAGACAGTTTTGTCCGACAGACTCCTGCATGTCAGGGATGTCAGAAAGACGTTAGCGGTTTCCAGCAGGTTTGTTGCTGCAGCGTCAGACGTGAACTCTATTGTCTGGACGTTGATTTACAGCTCACCTACCTGACGTGTTTACTCGCCCCGAGCGGCTTCCTGTGGAGAGGTCGATGAGAGGTCAGCGCTGTGACAGCGTGTTTGTCTCCAGGTGATTTACTGATGGAGGATGTGTGTTATATTTACCTGACAGCCTGCAGCTCCCACTCACCACACTGCATTCAGATACGTCTGAAATAACAAGCATGGAACAGATTCAGATTCGTTCAAAGATTTATCCATTCAAGTCTAATTTTATTAGCTCACTTTTTACAGGCAAGACAGTTTGTTATGTTTGGTGCTCGGAAATGCTGTTGGGTAAAAGTGTGTTGATAAAGTTATATTGTATATGGAATTTTGTGAGTTATTTTACATATTTTTCTTTTGTATCTACAAACTAAATGTCTTCTCTTAGCTTTTTAATTTATAATTCAGAATTAAAACATCTTTAATTAATACATTTCTTTTACGTTACACATTTAAATATCTATTAAATATTTAAATAAATCCAAAATTCTGAAGTCTTAATGCCAGACGTTAGACCAGCCCGTTCTCAGTCCCAGGTCGTCAGGAAGCTGTTAGGAAATCATATAAAGAGTGAACAAACACGAAAGTCAACATTTTACATTTTTAAAGTTACATAACATCACTTACATAGCATACTTATTTTAGGCCAAACATAAACCTTTTCTGAAACCTAACAAATAAACTAAACTTTTCCAAACACATGTTACAGATGTTAAAGATCTAACGACCTAGTGAACGTGTTGCAATTAATAGCCGGCCGGAGCATCTAGTTTTAGCCATCGCTATCTCAGCAGCTAGCGTTCTTTTGATGGGCTAGCTCTCTGACTTTAGCTTTCTAATTGTCTCGGTTTGGTTGTTGCTAATTTTGTAGAAATTTTGTGGAATTAGCGTAAGTTTGTGATTAAACAGACAACAGCAAAAAGATGTTGGTCTTAACTAAGTTTTAAACAATTTTATTGTGTTATCAGCGTTGTAGAGCAGAATAACTCTTATTAATGTCTGTTTTTATTTTTTTAAACGTATTAGCTGTAACACGACGGCCTGGTGAAAGTTGAGGAACTCCGCTCCCTGAAATAAAAAGTTAAAGAGAGAAAACAACAACTGTTTTTCAGATCAAAGATAACATCAAACTTCTGATTCTTCTGAGGCCAGATATCAAAGGCTGCTGCATTTTGATTTATTTATGATGATATTTGTTCGTGAATGAATTTTCTCATCAAACGTATGCCAAAAACAAAAACAGAGTTAAATATGCACAAACACCTTCTTCTTTCTCTTTTATGTCTCCAATCAATCAAACTTCCACATTAAATTGACATTTGATTTCCCTGCCAATCAAAAGAATACGACAAATATTAATACGGGAACTTGTTCAAAACGTCTCAACGGGACGAGTTTTTGTGGAACTTCTTGTTTTGTTGTTTTATTAGCGGCGTTTCTGAAGTCATGCTAATATGCAGCTTCTGATAAACAAATCAGACAAACACACAAAAAACAAGTAAACGAGGGCAAACAGATGGACGTGAAATTCCCAAATTTGTGAAATGAACCAGAACTTTAAAACAAAACGGTGATTCTGTGCCTTCGCAGCATCTAGAAGCAGCGATACAGCGTCCAACTAAAGAACGTAAGAAATCCATAAAGAACAAAAATAATAATCAACAGCAGGTCAAATAAAGTCAGAGTACAGCTAACTAACGCTAGCACCATACTCAAATTATATCTGCTGCGAAAACTTTACAGTATTGTAAAGATTAAACCGCTAGCTACTAGCTGCTAGATGCTAGCTGCGTGTCTGTTGTTTGCATTAAAACTGGACTTCACGCTTCATATTTGTGTTTCGGTCTTTAAAAACCCCAAAACACAAGAGCAGAAGCGTAAGAAAAAGGAGTAAACACTGTATTTATCTGCTCTAACGTTAGCCTGTCCGGCTAACTAGCTTATTACGTACAGTGCTAACTTACTGTTACCAAGACCAAGTGTTAGCATGTCATTAGCGAACTACATTAGAAGAAGCTCCAATCAGAACAACTGCTGTGTGGAAGCCGGTTCTGGATGCTGTCTGAGCTCTCGGTCCAGCAGAGGCAGCTAATTCATTGACTACTAGGGGTCCATAAATAATGTGGATCCACTGGTCCTGTTCTTCAAAGTAGATCTACATCCCTCGGCCAGGTAACTGCAACTGGTCACCAGATTTAGGTCATGATGTCTGTGTAAGCTGATCAAACACACTTATTCACCTCTGACTGTGATAACTGATCCATTCATGCTTTAAAATCTGGCTGCTAAACTTTTTAAACTGAAAGCCTGAGGGGGGATGACCCCGAACCCCGTGGTGGGGACTGGTCCCACTGGTCGGACTGGTCTTTGTGTCTGGGAGTTAAACTGCGGGGCTTCAGGTCAAGCAGCAGGAAGCCAGATTACACAGCGAGACTCTGAGATTAGATTTGGAGCTCTTAACCCTCAGAGGAAACCTGGATCTGAGGAGATTTAGGGATTATTTGGATTTCCCTGTTTCTCTGTTTGACGTTTTCTTCCTCGTTTGTTCTCTTGTTCATCTTTCTCTTCTTCTTGCTGGAAGTTCGGAAGGTTATATGTTTCATAAACTCTCATCGGCACATAAATTATTTAATTTCAGTTAATGTGTAAATTGATCAGTGATCTGACGTAATGTTTTTAAAGTTACACGTATAAACTTTTACTTTGATACTCCAGAAATAAACTGCTAGACGACTGAAGTTTGTCGTGATCAACAGATTTGTTTCTCATTTAAATGTTTCATGTGTGACTCCATCCATATTTATAAAATGTGTTTGAAGTTCTCAGTGAACAAGCATCGTCCTGAATTTGTTGGTTTCAGTGTGACCTTTTAAAACCGGGTTTAAAGCCGGATGTTCCCTTGAATTCACTTCTTAATTAAAAGTGGGGATCAGAAGATTTCACACAGTTCAAATTAAAGCAAATGTTCAAAACTGAAGTCTTCATAAAAGACGGCTGAGTGTGTTTCTGCTCTGTGAAAACCTCCAAATGAGTTCCTCTGACTCACCGAGGGCGGGGACGGCCCCCTGATGGGCCCCATCGGGTTCAGTTTCGCTGTGTGTGTGTGTTGGGGGTGCTAATGGGACCTGCAGGCTAAAATAGGGAGGTGGGGGGGGTCCTTTCCAACCAGAGCCCCCCCCCCACCTCGCTCTGCTATAGTTAGAAAAACTCCACTGCAAAGAAAATCCACCTCCTGTTTTGTCCCCATGAAGAAGTCAGAGGCACGCTGTAAAAAATGTCGCTGTCAGCGCTCTGAGATTTTTACAGCAGACAGATGTTGAGGTGTCGGAGGAGGAGGAGGAGGAAGAGGAGCAGAGCGAAGGAGGAAACAGCTGAAGGTTGTTTGTGGAGGTTTACAAGTCAGCTGTGCTCAGACCAGCAGAGTCCTGAGACCAGAACAGTCCGGGTCCTGGTGATTTATGGGACACTGTGAGGCATTCAGGGTCACCTTCTTCACTGCAGGAGGACACTATGAAAGCTGGTCAGACACGTTCCGACGCCGCGTTGGAATTTAGACTAACCATCATTTTAATTCGCATTAATCTGCCCGTGTCTTTCTCCCTTTATAAATGAAATGCGACACAGAGAAGTTTGACTTGTTTTAGGACTTTAGGAACTGTAATAGGACAGGAAATAAGAAGCTGCTTGTTTCTATAAACTTTAGATGGTAAATCTTGATAAAAACGACTCACAGGAGGTTTTTAAATGACAAGAAGCTTCATTATAAACTGACCACATTAGTTACTGACGACGACTTTAGATAAACACACAAGCTGAGAGGTGCCAGGACGGGTGATAAAGATGCCACAGATGGAGACAGAGGAAGCAGCTTTATTGTCAACAGGGAGCTTTGGTACAAGAACAAATAAAGATTCACTCATTATTCATGAACAGTTTCAGGGGACTTCATCAGCCAGAACACATGAATAAATCCTGATGAATCTGCAGCAGCGCTGCTAACGAATGCTAACGAATGCTAACAGGACGTCCTGAAGGACTAAACCTCATGAAGGGAACATTTTATATTTAAATCAACTAATACGGAGATTAAATCAGATTTACATGTGAGCAACCATCAGCTCTGCACTCGCAGCCAATCTGAGGGCTGTTCACCAGCACTTGGCCGAGGGCAGCAGGGACGGCTTGACCCTCCGTCCCGGGTTGAAGATGTCTCTGACCTCCGTCTCCAGACGAACGCCGGGCACCTTGAAAATGGACACGGCTGAAAAACACAGAAGATGAATGAATCAAAAGTTTCATGTTAGTTATTAAATACAATAAATACATAACTAAATATGACGACATCATTACAGCAGAAATACAAACATGTTTTAACACTTATTCACCTCCAACCTCTGGTTACCAGAGTTACATCGATAATAACAAAAAAATGATTCAGAACAGGTTCAGCAAACAATAACTGAATAAACACATGAAACAAATACAGAGACACAAGAACTAATAAAAAACAGACAAACGAATTATGCTATAAATAAATAAAAAACTAAATAAATCCTTCATTTATCAGAAATAGTAAATAAATATGTAAAACACAAAAACGTAAAATATGTGAAGAAATAAACTGTTTTAAAACCTTGTTTTTATTGAGATGTTAGAGGGAATTTACCTGACAGACAGGTGTGTGGCTGCAATAATAGTTTACATTTTATTTAGTTCATATGTTTACAAGATGAGACATCAGATTATTTTACAGGAACACAAAGAGACAGTTTTTGATATATAAAAAAACACATAACAGGAAACAGTCAAACTACGGCCTCTTTTCTTATTTGTGATAATGAAATAGATATTTTGGGGATAAAAATCCCAGCTGGTGTAGCTTTAACAAATTTACTACCAAAACAGATACTAAATTTGAGTCCTGAGCGTCGCCTGTCAGGCAGGTCACAGAGAACCAAGATACCCATGTCACTGTGTTTGTCCTCCAGCAGACAGACAGTTTAACTTACTCAGATTTTACTTATCAGGGTGGACAAACTCTGGCTCCTGCTCCGTGTTTCCCAGAAGAACACGTGTTCAGAGAGTCAGGATTTCAGGAGTGTAGAGAAACGTACACGGCCGAAGCTGCTAACAAAGCCAGGAGGGCGAATCTGTAACTATCCTCACAGAGTTCTTGATTCAGTTTTCTAGTTGTATGATGTGAAGGTACAACTGCATCTGAGGTCCATTGTAATTGTTAGAAATGGAGCCTGAGGAGAGGGTTAATAATCCCCAAAGACTAAAGTGTTGAATTTATGAGGGGGAAATTTATCACAAATCTACAAGTAAAAAACTTGAATATTCTCTGACATTATAGTCAAAACATTTATGAGAGAAACTCTCAGTTTTTTGTCATGACTTCATTTTTCAAGGCTGCAACATCACACATACTTCTGCCGTGTGTCATCCATGCACTGGAGAATTATAGGTTACATTCAGCAGTGATTTCAGACTTTAGAGACTTCACCGTGAATTGGACGTATTCAGATATAAACACCAGAGTGATTTGATGTTTCTGTTTCATTTCAGGGAATTTTAAAGTTTTGTTCTTGTGAATTTAACACTTTTATCGAGGAAATGTTATCTACTACTAACCTGAATGAGCCTCTGTTAGCCTGTAGCTCTGTTAGCATGAGCCTGCGTTAGCTTGTCGCTCTGTTAGCATGAGCCTCTGTTAGCTTGTAGCTCTGTTAGAATGAGCCTCCGTTAGCTTGTATCTGTTAGAATGAGCCTCTGTTAGCTTGTAGCTCTGTTAGAATGAGCCTCCGTTAGCTTGTATCTGTTAGAATGAGCCTCTGTTAGCTTGTAGCTCTGTTAGAATGAGCCTCCGTTAGCTTGTATCTGTTAGAATGAGCCTCCGTTAGCTTGTATCTGTTAGAATGAGCCTCTGTTAGCCTGTAGCTCTGTTAGCATGAGCCTGCGTTAGCTTGTCGCTCTGTTAACATGAGCCTCTGTTAGCTTGTAGCTCTGTTAGAATGAGCCTCCGTTAGCTTGTATCTGTTAGCATGAGCCTCTGTTAGCTTGTAGCTCTGTTAGAATGAGCCTCTGTTAGCTTGTAACTGTTAGAATGAGCCTCCGTTAGCTTGTATCTGTTAGAATGAGCCTCTGTTAGCTTGTAGCTCTGTTAGAATGAGCCTCCGTTAGCTTGTATCTGTTAGAATGAGCCTCCGTTAGCTTGTATCTGTTAGAATGAGCCTCTGTTAGCTTGTAGCTCTGTTAGAATGAGCCTCCGTTAGCTTGTATCTGTTAGAATGAGCCTCTGTTAGCTTGTAGCTCTGTTAGAATGAGTCTCCGTTAGCTTGTATCTGTTAGCATGAGCCTCTGTTAGCTTGTAGCTCTGTTAGAATGAGCCTCCGTTAGCTTGTATCTGTTAGAATGAGCCTCCGTTAGCTTGTATCTGTTAGAATGAGCCTCTGTTAGCTTGTAGCTCTGTTAGAATGAGCCTCCGTTAGCTTGTATCTGTTAGAATGAGCCTCTGTTAGCTTGTAGCTCTGTTAGAATGAGCCTCCGTTAGCTTGTATCTGTTAGAATGAACCTCTGTTAGCTTGTAGCTCTGTTAGCATGAGCCTGCGTTAGCTTGTCGCTCTATTAACATGAGCCTCTGTTAGCTTGTAGCTCTGTTAGCTTGTCGCTCTGTTAGCCTGTAGCTCTGTTAGCTTGTCGCTCTGTTAGCATGAGCCTCTGTTAGCTTGTAGCTCTGTTAGAATGAGCCTCTGTTAGCCTGTAGCTCTGTTAGCTTGTCGCTCTGTTAGCATGAGCCTCTGTTAGCTTGTCGCTCTGTTAGCATGAGCCTCTGTTAGCCTGTAGCTCTGTTAGCTTGTCGCTCTGTTAGCATGAGCCTCTGTTAGCTTGTAGCTCTGTTAGCATGTACAAGGTGTTTTGGCAGGAGTTCTTACTGTCTCTGAGGTGCATGATGGGAGGAGGCAGCGTGCTGAAGTACGGGTGCTGCAGAGAGTCCTGCGCCGAGATCCGGTCTGTAGGGACCCCTTTCAACATCCTCTGGACCAGGTCCTCGGTCTTATAGGGCAGCTGGTTCACCTGATCCACATCAACACAAACAGGCTTATGCAGGGCTACAGAGAGTCCTTTTCTAACTAATCCAGATCTAGGCTGAGCAGCAGTAGACTCCATGCTAACACTTTAGCCTTAATAAAAGTAAGTTAATAAAGTATTGAAACTGTTTTCTTACCTTTTCCAAACGGTCCTAAACGGCTTCGGCTCGCAGTGAACAAACCGCTCTGTGCAAAGAAAGAAAGTGAAGTTCATAAATGTGGTTCTGACCTTCGTGTCCCCCTCAGGATGAGCTGTAATAAGTTTGATGATGCTCTAACTTTACATCCAGCACCACCATCAGGTCAACGTGTAATGTGTCCAACACTTTGCTTTATGACCAAATACCTGCAGAACTGAAGATGCTTATGTTAGCATGCTAACGAGCTAAGCTTACTTTAGAATATTGCAAGAATCTTAACGCTTTGGAGGAGGTAAACAGGAAGTATAACAGTACCATGGAGTCAGGGAGTTACACTGTGGGCGACAACTTGAGCCATGTTTTCTTTTAAGTAGCCGAATTAGCTGTTAGCGGCTCCTGTTAGCGACTCCTATTAGCTGTGTACCCATGAATGTACAGACAGATTTCACTGGATTACTGTGATACTGAAGGAAACTTCCTTCATCAGGTCCTGCAGCTTCTTTGGATTTCTGCACGTCTGTTCTGCCATCAGAGATACTGATATAGAATGAACCAGTGCAACGTTAGTCTGGAGCCCTGAGAAAACCTAAACCGTGACCCACTGAGGAACAGATGAAGCCCACTGAAGGTCTCACACGGACCTGGACCGATTCCCCGACCTTAAAGAATGTGAATCTTTGAGCCCTGTGGGTGGAGGCCCTGAGCTGAGTAATCACACCTCATTTCCTCAGGTTGAACTCTCCAGCTGCGAGAGGCGATCTCTCTGAGCCGTTTACTGTAAAAACACGGTTTATGTTCGTGATTAATGTTTAGGTCAGCTGCTGATCTCACTCTTCCCTCCCTTTGTTCTGACTTTCACACAGCCCGATCTCTGAGAAAGTATTTTCAAATTTAGAGCATTAACCCCGTCAGACCCGACTGATTTTCTGCCCTCTGGTTGTTTTTGGTGAGGCACAAGGAAATATTGGGTCCCCAATAAAATATTTGAAGTGATCAGGCTCCAGTTTTACTTCTGGGCTGGTTGTTTTGTGTCATGTGACAGAGCTGAACTACTTGGTTTCTACGCCTGTTAAACGAAAGGCGACTAAATGTCCATTTACTGAAACCAGATCATGTCTCAGATACAACAGAGTCTGAGGACAAGTGATAACATTACTGAAATACTTTGACTGTCTCATTACGGATCATGTCAGGACTTTAAATTGTTTTCAGTCTGCAGGCTGGACTCCTGCGCACAGAGGGCCGTGACAGCCGATCACAGATTACCACCTGCTGCGCTCTAACTATAAGCCCTGCAAGGGCGTCATTTCTGTTGGAAAGTGGAGGGGACATTTAAGGGCTCAGATAAGGAGCGAGCAGTCAGGGTTTGACGAAACACTTCCAGTCCACCAGACGAGACATTGCACAAGATTAGAGTCACGGGAACAAAACATCTTAAAACTATTTAGAATAAATGGCCACTGATGAAATATACGACTGGGGGACCTGAGGGTCCTTTCCCAGAAGATGTTGAGCGTAAAATAGTCAATTTGCACCATTTTATGTGGAAATGTCTTAAAATGTACTGGATATAATACAGTATCAGTGGCTTGTTTTTTAGCTTAGGTAACTGTTTTGGACAACGCAGATCCATTTATTCTATATTTACAGTGCCTTGCAAAAGTATTCGGCCCCCTCGAACTTTTCGACCTTTTGCCACATTTCAGGCTTTAAACATAAAGATATAAACTGTAATTTTTTGTGAAGAATCAACAACAAGTGGGACACAATTATGAAGTGGAACATAATTTTTGGATATTTCAACCTTTTTAACAAAAAAAAACTGAAAAATTGGGCGTGCAAAATTATTCAGCCCCTTTACTTTCAGTGCAGCAAACTCTCTCCAGAAGTTCAGTGAGGATCTCTGAATGATCCAATGTTGACCTAAATGCTAATTATGATAAATAGAATCCACCTGTGTGAAATCAAGTCTCCGTATAAATGCCCTGCTCTGTGTAGTCTCAGAGGTCCGTTTAAAGCGCAGAGAGCATCATGAAGAACAAGGAACACACCAGGCAGGTCCGATACTGTGTGGAGACGTTTAAAGCCGGATTTGATACAAAGAGATTTCCCAAGCTTTAAACATCCCAAGGAGCACTGTGCAAGCGATAATATTGAAATGGAAGGAGTATCAGACCACTGCAAATCTACGAAGACCCGGCTGTCCCTCTAAACTTTCAGCTCATACAAGAGAAGACTGATCAGAGATGCAGCCAAGAGGCCCATGATCACTCTGGATGAACTGCAGAGATCTACAGCTGAGTGGGAGACTCAACAATCAGTCGTATACTGCACAATCTGGCCTTATGGAAGAGTGGCAAGAAGAAATCCATTTTTAAAGATAAAAGTTTAAAGTTTGCCACAAGCCACCTGGGAGACACACCAAACATGTGGAAGAAGGTGCTCTGGTCTGATGAAACCAAAATCAAACTTTTTGGCAACAATGCAAAACGTTCTGTTTGGCGTAAAAGCAACACACCATCCCCACTGTCAAACATGGTGGTGGCAGCATCATGGTTTGGGCCTGCTTTTCTTCAGCAGGACAGGGAAGATGGTTAAAATTGATGGGAAGATGATGGAGCCAAATACAGGACCATTCTGGAAGAAAACCTGATGGA